CTTATTTTCTGAGTCTTTTTAAGACTCTTCTGGATAATAGACAAAAAAAGGCATTACCTAATAGATTGACCATTTTATTATATACTCTGCTATGTATTGCAAAGGAGCATGAATACGTCCAAACATGCCTTGAAACACAATTATTACATAATATATCATGTACAGAAAGTATAAAATAATTACATTTCAAAATAAAGTTGAGAATGGGGGGCAGTAGCTGAGGGAGGCTACAAGAGCAGCTCTGAGTTACCTATAATTGTTTTATTTCTTGATCTGAATTCACTTTTAAAAATTCATCAAACCATATGATTACAATTTTCACCCCTTTCTGTAGGTATACTATATTTATATTAAAATTTTATTACATAAAAAGTTACATTTCTGAATGTTTACATTGCCACAAAAGAAATGTTGAGAGCCCGGCCGGGTGTGGCTCAGTGCTTGAGCATCGACCTGTGATCCAGGAGATGGAGGTTCAATTCCCGGTCAGGGCACATGCCCGGGTTGCGGGCTCAATCCCCAGCCAGGGCCGTGCAGGAGGCAGCCGATCAATGACTCTCTCATCACTGATGTTTCTATCTCTCTCTCTCTCCCTCTCCCTTCCTCTCTTTGAAATCAACAAAGATGTTTGTTTGTTTTAAAAATGTTGAGATACATTTATTCATGTTTCAAATATGTTCTCTTATTGCAACTCTCTAAAATCCCTTGCTAAATAAAAAAAATCTATTTTGCAGTGGTTTGCCTCTGAGGAGCTAGATTATTTCAGCAATTTATTTTATATTGGGGAGAAGTACTTTTTATACTTTACTTAAATAAAAGCCTCTGAAGCCCTCACAATAATGAACCTAGAATAAATTCTAGTTTACACTACTCTGGAGGAAAACACTTTACTCAAAGAATAAAGCAACAGAGATGGGTGGACAAGTTTGTAATTTCATCGAAATCGAGTCTTTAACTTGTCTGATATCTAATGAGCAAAAGATTGTGCTAAACTTAGAAAAATCAATGGTGAAAATAAAATGGAAAACTCCTGCCTGCTGCTCTTGTGCGTTGTATGTACCTGGACTACCTGCAGCTCTGCTGGACTAGAAGGCTCTCCAAGCCAAGTAGTAAAAACTGCTCACCTTCGCTTGAGTTGCACGCCATAAAGTCACGCGCCAGCCG